CGAGCTTTGCGTCCTTTGTCAAGTTTGTGATTGGCCATCTTGGTCAATACTCCAGTGTTGCATCCAGGGCTGCCATCAGAAATGTTGGGGCCCCTGACACAGCTCAAGGTCTGGGCCCCCCGGTGCCTGCACCCGAGTCCGCCCAAAGTGCTGCCCCCCCCCCGAATCCGCCCACAGGGATGCAGTGTCTACAGGGCCGGTGCAAGGATTTTTGCCGCCCTAGGCAAAAGTAAAGTTTGCCGCCCCCCCATGTGACATCACAATGCCCCACCCATGTGATCTGCCATGTTAACTAACAGCAGTGCTGCAGTGCCACCGTGTTTACATTAAAAGGCCTGCAGGGACAGGCTAGACACCAGAACCACTACATTAAGCTGCAGTGGTTCTGGGGACTATAGTGTCCCTTTAATGTGAGGTAAATTAGAGATTAGTGCCACGAATAATATACTAGATTGCCTACTTACAACCAGATGAGGATGATGAAGATGGGCTCTAGCTGCCGTCTGGCTCCACTGGTCTGGTGTACAACAGGCTCTCTGGAGGCGGTTTGTAACTGGTCACAAAAATCACTGTTCTGGGAGAACGGGAAGCAGCTCCATTTTTTTGAGGGCCCTTTACACAGCTCAATGTCTGGGTCCCAGGGTCCACCTTCATGTTCCACCAATGAGTTTGTTCACAGGGAGTGGAGTGTGTGTGTGGGGGATGTCCTGATGTGTGTAAGGAATGCATTGTGTGAATCTGTGTAAGGGCTGCAAGATGAGTTTGTGTATGTATGGGATGCAGTGTGTGCATCTGTAAGGGATGCATTGAGTGTGTGTAAGGGGTGCATTGTGTGTTGCTGTGTGTAAGGGATGCATTGCTTGTGTACGTGTGTCTGTGTGTAATGCATTGTGTGTTTTTCTGTGTGCAAGGGGTGCATTGTGTGTGATGGATGTCAATCTCTCCCCCTCCCCCCCCGTCAATTTCCTTCTCCCCCCTCTCCCTCCAATTTCCTTCTTCTCCCCCTCCCTCTCCAATTTCCTTCTTCTCCTCCTCCCTCTCATTTCCTTCCTCTCCCCGTCCTCAAATTTCCTTCCTCTCCCCCGTCCCTCAAATTTCCTTCCTCTCCCCCCGTCCCTCAAATTTCCTTCCTCTCTCCCGTCCCTCAAATTTCCTTCCTCTCTCCCCTCCCCCTCAAATTTCATTCCTCTCCCCCCTCAAATTTCATTCCGCTCCCCCCTCCCATTTCATTCCTTCCTCCCCCTCAAATTTCATTCCTCTCCCCCCTCAAATTTCATTCCGCTCCCCCCTCCCATTTCATTCCTTCCTCCCCCTCTCCTCAAATTTCATTCCTTCTCCTTCCCC